CGCCCTCTGGTGGTGGGCACTCTTTCCCCAGTCGATGCTATTAGCGCACTAATTCTGGGACATTTCTTCGGTTATATGAGCAGTTTCTTAATTAAGTAGCACTGCCTCCGACTCTGCAGCAGACTGCAGAATTACACCTTTGTGTAATCTGTTGTTTTTGTTTGTTTGTTTTTTTACTTTTTTTTTCCCAGTGTAGTTTTAGTTTTAATATAGGAGAGTGATTACCACTGCGCTTCCTTCAGCCTTAAAGAACACGTAATGATTTTCCCATAGCTAGACTTAGTTATTTGTTTGACCAGGCAGTATCCCCTGCTTTATTTCATAATCACAGATCTGGGTATGCCTCCACAAAGCTGCCATCTCAGTGTGATGGTATAGCTTAATTGATACCATGTGAATGGTGGCATCGTTCACTGAAAGCGGGCAAGCAAGAGAAAGCAGAATGCTTTTAAAACTGCCCAAGGTAGAGCCTTTACACATGGACCTCCCACACTGGTCAGAAGCATTTCCTCTTTCTACCAGGTGGAAAAGTTGGCAGTGGGGTCTTTTCCCCCTCCACCTATGCCGTAGGCTACAGAAAGAGATTGATGTGATTAATTCTGATTGCCTATATAAAGTACATAAAGTCTGAGAACAAGTGAGCACAGGCAGCAATGAGCACTTGCTCCATTTTTAATTTCCATTTCAGAACAGTCAGGTTCTGCAGCTATTTCCAGAAGAAACAGCGGGAGCAAAAGGCTAAACTCCTTTCAGTCTGGAGCACCATCTGTTTAGAGAAAGGATCATTAAACTTAGCTATGATGGTGATGGATTATCTTGGCGACCTGAGCAGTCCCTCACAGTCGTACCATACCTGTACAGTTCAGATACCATACCTGAACATGAAAATATTAGTTCAGTGATTTAAAAAAAAAAAAAAAAAAAAAAAGCACAGTCAAAAGTATAATTGCCATGGACTGGTAGAAACCTTACATTTCTTACATTGACGTAGAAAAGGATTATAATGTTTCACTCTGGCCCAAGAGAGCCCCAGTTTTTATGTGCACTACGCTGAGCTGTGCTGCTGCCACCCCGTGATTTAAGATCCACCAACCACCCTTAGTGCTCTGATTCTGTCACCCTGGTTAGCTGGGTTCCCAGTCTGCACCTGTCCACCACAGCAGCTGGATGCTGATTGACCAACTGGTGACCTTTTCATTTTCTTAACTTATCAACAATTTCTTAGGCAAGCCAAAATGATAAACACACTGAACTGGTGCCATCAGATCAGTGAGATCATTTTGAAAAGTTAAAAAACAAAGTGTCCTTGCATGCTTGTTTCTCTACAATAAAGGCATCTCTTAATGTTAAACTTCAAAGCCAAGTGTACCTTAGATGAGCAACCAAATAGTTCTGAGCCTATTGAATGTTTACCACAAAACTTATTAAAGTTAAGGACAGGAAAAAGTAGGGCTCCTCTAACATCTCTGCACTGCATCATCCTCCCTCCCAAGGAAGAATGAGAACACATCTTTTGATGTTTTTATTTCTTTATGGCTTTTTATAGCATCAGAATGCCAGAGCAGCTTATCTAAATGTGTGATTTATTGTAAGAAGTAAGAGAGCTTGGTGCTAGAAATTTCAATAATGCTGTAACTTTTCAGTGTCAACTTCAAACCCCAAATTAACAGGGAGATACCTGTAAAGTGATTGTATTTTAATGTCCTGCCTTTAAGTAACAGCAACAATTAAAATGCAAGCAATTATTTCTGGACTTTTTTTTTTTTTTTTTTTTTCCAGAAAATAATAGGAAAACTTCAGTAATTGCAAGCAGAGGAAGCTGCAGCTGAAAGAAGGATGTACATGGAGTGTTCAGTTACATGACCAAACAGCTTGGAACAGCAGCACACACACATACTGGGAACAGAAACAATAACAGCTCACAAAGGCATCCTAAGATGTTTTTTCTCCTATTTGCTTAGCTGGGACCAACACAGAAAGACTTCCCTTAATTTTCTTAAAAGAAAGGCAATTTTACAACACATTCCAGAAAAAGACAGTGGATCTCAGTGATGGAATCATAGCATCACCAAGGTTGGAAAAGATCTCTAAGATCATCCAACCATCCACCTATGACCAATATTTCCCACCAAACCATGTTCCTCAGTACAACTAAACGTTTCTTGAACTCCTCCAGGGACAAGAGGAGAGAAGTAGACTAATAATATCATTTACACATTGTGTTTATGTAATATTTTTGGTAAAACTAAGTCTAGATCAATTTCAATAGTAAAACTGACCATGCATTTAGTGGATTAATGAATAGCTTTTTTGTTTTTTTTTGTTTTGTTTTCTTAAGTCTACTTACATCTGTCTAAGCATATTTGCATGCTCATACTCATCACTACAAAGATAAGGAAATAAAAGAAAACAGAAAAAGCAAGGGGTTAGAAGACAGAACTTTTAACCTGTACTTTAGTCAGGATGTAGCTGTTACTACACATATGGCTATTTTAAATTAGTGCAGAACAACTTTTGTGTTCTGATTTACTTTCAGTTAACAGTTATATGGTTATGACAAGTATGGTTTGGACAAGTTAAGAGGAGGATAAATGCAATTACAGTTACAAATATCTGCATCAGATTAAATGTAGCACACAGGAAGACATAATGAAGGCTGGCTGACTGCTGAGATCATGTCAACCTATTACAAAATTCCATGAATGCCATGAACATACCCTTTTCCACTGCTGTCAGTTTATGAATATAATCACAACAACTATCTGTAAAATGAGTCATTCAGTGGGTTGCAAGAATGAACCGATTCTTTTCCATCAGTCAGTTACTGACATGCTGCTTGATAGATACTGCCTTCTGTGAGGAAGGAACAATCAGTGGGACATGTAAATGCACTTGTACTCAATACCCGGGGCAGAACCAATGCAAGCAGCTTACAAAGTACTTTGCATCCCAAAAATTACTGGGTAATACCACAGTCTCTAGCAGACAAAAAGCTGTAGGTTTCCCTGCTTATTTTTGAAGATATTTAATTCTGTAAATCTAACCAATTGTTCAACATCACTGAGATAGCAATGCACGCTGAGGTGCCAGAAAGTAAAGCAAAGATACCACAAATGCATTTCTGACCATAAGAACCTCGAAAACAGGGCACCTTTACCTACAAATCTCCTTATTTTCCACTCACACCTTTATTAAATAATAATCATAATAATAAAATCCTTTTTCCATGTCCCCAAAAGATTTCACCCTTTGAGCTCAGAACATTCCATATGTATAATACACAATACATAGATTTCTCTTACATTAAGCAGTTTCCTTCCAGCATACTAATCAGTAATCCACTTCTCCTAGGATTTATTCTCATATTCCAAACTGTGAGACCACAGTAAGCAGATCTCGAATTTTCTTTTAAAGTAAACTGCCAACACACTGCCCTTTCTCTCTCTTAAAATACAGCTATTTCAAATAGTAGATAGATCTAACTTAGAATGTACAATAAATAAATAAATAAAAATCACAACTGTCCTTTTTAAATAGGTAAAGGTAAAAGAAATACCTAATCTGAAAACTAAAAATAGCAGAAGTTATTTCAGAGTCAGCTATTATTCCCCTGAAATATAGTGACCTTATTGGCTATGCTTATGTAAGTGACAACAGATCACCTAGATGGAATTTTTAACCTAACAAAAGTAATTTTATGCATTTTTTATGTTTGATGGATCTTTCTGCTCTCCTTTTATATTCAGGCTTTCACCCATTCATTTTACTATGCCAGAATCCAGCCAAAAAGTTTTGTTGCTGTCTAGCCACGGAAGTGTTTTATACATATGTCATAACAAACACAAGACACACATTAATAGCAATCAGTTGGGTGATTTTAGCTTGTTTTTAGTTTTCTCTCTTGAATATACTCATTAATCTGTTTCAGTCAAGTAGAACAAAGCCAGATCTCATTCTCACTCCCAGGGCAGTAGGAAACACCACCTGCACTGCACCACAGACCTGCTCAGCAGCCACAGTCTCACTGCAACACATCCTTCGCATAAATGCAAAATAAAACCAGTGCTTTCAATGGGATAAGGTAGAAACACTTCTTCCTTTAACTACTGTCCTGCATTCAGCATCTTTCCTTTCTCCTTTGAGGGCTCAGTCCCAATTTGCAATATAATCTCACTGAAGTTTAAAGGAAACAATTCCAAGATACACAAGGATTGTGCAGCTGCCTCCCTATGTGCCATCCTCTGATACACAGAGTTCCTATTTAACAGCTACATTACAGAGGTACCCAAGCATAACTCAAGTAATTGAAAACCTTTAAGACAGCTACAGAGGGTGTAAATAACACATACACAGATTTCACTGAATCTAATACCTCAGTCATATGACTGCTTCGGATAAATGTCTGAAAGAGTGGAGAAAAATGAAGTTCCTGGAGCATAATGGAAAAATAGATCAACCAGTAGTGTTCTCATTTCTTTCAGCACAAGTCCTCATAATCCTTATTTTCCTCTTTACAGATTTCAAAATTAAGAATACTGCCTTCCAGAGAGTATTCCAATAATAGAAACCAATGTGCACAGCAAAAAAAATAAAAATTAAAATTAAAAAATGCTGCAACCAAACAGTAAAATCTCTAACCGCCATTTACTTTCTTCTTAAATTGCATCACCACCAGTGTCAATACTATTGACATCACCTATTGACATCACATTCTGTTTTCACCAGGTCAAGGACAAATGGATCCAGATGCAACTCACAGACCAACACTGCATATTAAATTCTATTCATCTTATTAACAATACCCTCAAAACCAGCCCCAAGGAAGCATTCAAGAAACTTTTTTCTATAGATTTTGACACACGCTATTAAACATCATTAAGAACCATCTCCGGTGATTTATGGAAAAACTTCTCAGCCAAAATACATAAATTCAGGAAGAAAAAAGAACTTTCACTGTTTAGGAAAATGCCTGGACATTAAACACTATACAAAAGACTTCATTATTTTATAACCATATTTAATTTGAAAATTCCAAAAAATTAAGATCAGAAAATCAAACTGAACTTTGCTCTCCTAAAGGCGTCTATGTTCAGCATGGAAGCCATTCATTCTTAAGAGAAACTGGAAATAGCTTTTATCATCTAGTTACTGCTGATAGCCTTTTCAGCTGTCCATCCTTCTTTGGGTTTCGAGTAATCCCACGGCCTCCTGTTCTCAGTGTACCCATACAGCTTCCGCAGCGCCACGCGGGCAGCTTCTTCCTCTGCAGCAAGTAGTGTTTCCCCAGGCCCTTCAGCTATTATCTTCTTATCACTGGGAAAAAAGCAAACAAAACGTTTTCGTCAGGATCCTGAACACTGTTGTACATCATGGATCAGTGCTGCTAAATGTTTTTTCTCCCAGTCTGTCAATATTGAGGTAATTTCTATATACAGGCACAAGTGCACACATTTCTGCTGTTTTTTCTTGCAAAGGTGAGCTACTGGATATTCAGCAATGGAAACACAAATCAGAAAGACATCCTCTTCCTGGAGGAACAATACTCTGTTCACTGAGACTCCTAACACATCACTGATTGTTCACAGTGTTCAGTTTCTGTTAGCCCTGTTAAAAACATGCAAATCCTTTACTTTGGTCAGCTCAACCAATCTTTTCTTTTCCCCCAGTAAGAAAGCATTTTCAAAATCCCTCAAAAGGAATCCACCTCCCTTGATGTCTCCTCACCATTCTCTAAGCTCTGCATACAGCTGCAGTCCTTCCAAATCTCCTCAGTTCTGTTACTGGCAAAGTCCCTACATCCTGGCTCTGGTGTGTGTCTGATTCAGACTTCAAAGCTCTTTAGTCCAAGATTGTCTTTGTGCTCTACTCCTGACAATGCTTAAATGGTTGATTTTACACAGAAGTCACTGCATGGTTTCTTTTATGTAATAACATGACCAAAAATCACAAGTAAAGAACAAAAGGACCATCTTCTGTCCTCCCCTCTCCCCCAACTTGAATCCATTTAAATACCATACTAACCAGTACAGCCCAACGAAGTACAGTGGCAGAACTGTGTTGACCCCCAGCTGTCTGGTAATTCTTGGTTCTGGAGCAGAGATATTTCTCTTGGCCAACTCTTCCACCAGCAAGCCCATAGGATTTACAACTTCCCAGACCTCAAACAGATCTTTTCCAATCAGTTGGGGAATTAAAAAATCCTAAATAGAAAAATATTTAGAAGTTAAAATCAATGGAAAGGGGAACAACAGCTCTAGCTCCTAGTGTCTATGAATAAAAATCCAATACGAGTCATTAATGCACCTGACAGCAAATATCTGGAATGAATGATCAAACCACGTCTGTGCTACAGCATGGCTAAGCAGGACCAGGAGGCGTTGCTGAGCTCTGCTGGCTGAGCTGCTCAGTGTGCACACCAAGCCAACCCGCTGCCACCTGAAAGTGCAGCACCTGCCTGAGGGCTTCACAGTGCTGCCGGGCAGTTCTGTGTGTGAACACCCAGGAGGGAAACCAAGGCAGCAGGCTGCACATCTGCAGGGTCTGCCAGAAGCTGAAGGTACCACGCAGCTCCATGTGATTTACACCCATTCTGGCCACTGTCTTGTCTGGTAACTGCTGCTGGCTCTTACACAGACCCTCGCCTTGTATTGGAAATGAGATTTTAACAAATAACTTCTCCATTTCAACACTAGCAATACGTGAAAAGGGCGAGAGAAAGGACAGCAGCCGCCCAAACTACTTTGTTACACTGCAGTTTAACTGAACGTTCCCATATGAAAAGATCTTTGGATCTTTGCACTGCTGAGCTTTTTTGTTTTGGAGAAAGAACCAAACAACCTCTCTGGATCTCCAGTCACTGAGGTGCAGAACAATACATACTTTTTGCCTTTCTTAACTTCTCCTCCCCCCCCCTCCCCCTCTCCCCCACCTCCGACATGACCACTTATTGCTATCGGCACAAAAAAGCCACAAAGGCCGGCGCACCCTGACGAAGAGCCCGGCTCTCTCGGGCCCGCTGCTGCCCAGCAGCGCTCCCACCACCGCGAAGAACGTGGCGTGCAGCACGGCCGGCGGCGCGGGGAACTGCGCGCAGAGCGCCAGGTCGGACAGCGCCAGGTTGTGCGCCACGTGGGACACGAGCTGCCGCCCGGTCAGGAAGGCAACGAGCGCCGCCACCCCCGGGGCGGGCAGGCGGGGGTAGGCGGCCTGGAAGCTGCGCGTCAGGTAGGAACGCGAAAACGACATCCCTCGGGCGGAAAGCTCCGCGTTGTCTCGGAGGTTGAGGGCGACGGCGTCTTTGTCTACGCCGAGGTCCCGGCGCTTCGCCTCCTCGCTTTTAATGTAACAGGAATTCACGAAGGCGGTTTTGAGGAGATCTAACGAGAAGTTTTCCCGCAGGCGGTGGCCGAACGCCTGGATCTCCGCGTGGTAATCCCAGCCGGGCTGCTCCGAGCTGCGGGCGAGGAAGGAAACGGGGTCAGAACGAGGCGGCTCCGCAACCGCGAGCGTCCCCCGCCCGCCGCCCGCCCCTCGGGTTCTCACCGCCGCCGCGGGGCCGCCCGCAGCCGCTGCTGCTCCAGGTAGGCGCGGAGCCAGCGCTTCTTCTCGCGGTGCGGCGCGGAGTCCGAAAGGAGCCGCCCCGTCCCGGCCGCGGCCAGCAGCCGCCGGGAGACCCGCAGCAGCAGCAGCCCGGCGGCCATTGCGGCGGTGGCGGGGCGGAAGGTCCGTGCGCTTACGCGTCCCCCGGGCGGAAACGCTCCGAGTCGGCGCAGAACAGCGCGTTCCGGAAGCGAAAGAGGAACGGCTCCGTCCGCCCGCAGCCGGGGATGGGCGACGTGAGCGGCACGTGGCAGGCTTCTCTGTTAATAAACAGATGCTTTAGAGAGCGAAACTCGAACTGTTGTTTGGGTTTCATTTGGAAGACAAAGAGCCTTTTTGTGCCCGTAAAAGAAACTTTTATTGTTTCTTGTTTGCCAGTACAACTCCGTAAATGCAGCAGGCACAGCCCCGGTTAACGAGCACTCACACAGGATGCTCCGCTTCACGCTGACGGTCCGCAGCTCCGCCACATGCCGCGCTCCGTGCCGGCTCTCACCCCGGGACCAGGCACGTGCAGCACGCACGCACCAGCACAGGCTGCAGGCAGCCCCCGGCCAAGGCCCACATGGCAAAAAACGCAAAAAAGCAACACGTGAAGCAGCCAAACTCAGGAAGAACACACAGAAAAGCAGGCAAGGCAACCTGACACACAAAGCACAGAAGCCATGTGATGCCAGACAGCACAGCCTGCAGAGCGCCTGCTGGCACGTGGAATGGACGAGAGCAGCACGCATCCATGGGGCCCCACAGGCACACAGTGAAGCACCCAGGGCTTCTCGCACAGAGCAACCTGTCCTGGCTGCCAGTTGTTGGAATGCTTCAGCCATCCAATTCACCTCTATCCGGGGCAGCTAACTGCTAATTCTCGAGAAAAATGCTGTGCAAATAGCAGTCAGTCATCAGCAAAATCAGATACTGTGCAGCTGCAATGAGAATTTTCATATGTATTTACCATCTTTCCAGTCTTCCAGGCAAATATCCCACTCATGGCACCGGACAACAGCAAGGGGGGCTCCTCAGTCACTTTATGTCCCGGCGTGCCCCATCCCAGCTCTGCTCCCAAAGAATAGCACGGCTGCACAGGAGCTGGGTGATTCTTCTGGCCAGTAGGCAGTGCTTCTGCTGGGCAGGGCGAGTCAAGGGTACAGCTGGAGGAGGCCTCATGTCATTCTTTTCTGCATCTGTTGTGTATCATCATCTCTCAGCAGTCTGTGTACTTCTAGAGCCCAGGAGTTGTCCTGCACAGTGGTCGCAGCTGTTCTACAAAAAGTCACCTCTGAAACATGTCACTGCTGTCTGCTGTCACTGCACTTCCTCCCATGCACTGATACTGGTAGGAGGATTCCTAACTTGAGGAAGGGGCTGTGGCTGCCACACATCCAAGTGAAAGGTGCAGCTGCAGCCGTACAAAGCCTGGAAGCCACCAACACACAGGAAGGCTGAGGTGCTCCAGCAGCACTGTGCATGGCTCAGAGCTCCCACAGAGCAGTGGCAAGAACAGCAGCTCCTGGACACAAGGCAGATCGCTCAGTTGAAGTGGAGATGTTTAACCCCACTGCAAGATGTGGGGACACTGGGCTTGCTTCCCACACAGACATACTCAACCACACACACCCAGAGCAATTTCAGAGCACGCCAGGCAAGGCAGCCCTGCAGCAAGCTATCAGGTGCTCACTTGCTACCGGCTCTTACTTTTCAGGCTGCTAGTTCAGACAAATCCTCAAACTTTCTTAAAATAATATTAAACAAATTTTTAAATTATTTCTTTGTTTTATTAAATACACTACAGTGGTCTCTTGTACTCCATCATCTTTTGATCACTCAGATTGACTTGCTTAAAAATGTATTTTATAGAAAAAACATCTGCAAAATTAAAGCTAAAAGAAACAAACATATTACACACCTCTGGACAGTCTGCATGTTAGCAAAGACCTTTTATTATCTGACCTGAACACAGCCTTAAACTAGGAACATACTCATGAAACAGGACACACTCCTTGAATATGGCACACCTCTGATACAAGTTAGACTGAAGGAGAACTAGTGCAATGATGTTCACTTGCATCTAACAGCTCAATAAAACCTAGTTTTTATTTCTTTGTGTTGATATTTTTTCCCAAACCCAATCTGATTTGTTCTCTGCCAACCACAACAAAAAAAATCCAGTGATTACTCCTGTCAGACACTCTCCTTACACTGCACAAAGCAAGCTTCATTTCAAAATCAGCTGATCCGTATTTACATTGAAGCATGCAAAGGAGGATACTGCAAGTATTCACAATGCAAATCTATTAAATACAGCATAACTGAACAACAAGGTGTCCCTTTAACACTGCAATTCTCTAGGCTTTTCCTGTGGTGGAAGTTTCCAGTGTATGAATTATAAAACAGCATACAATTCAGAAACAGAAACAAAGAGTTTTGCAAATTTTGTTGGTATTTTGATCAACTAAATTTTTCAGAGCTGTGTCTAGCGCCGAAACCAAAGCCAGCTATTGAGTAGCCAGAAAGCTACAGTAATTGAATACATGATCATTTCCCTTTTAGCACGCTCTTTGTTTTCTTCTTCCAGAAGCTGGAGACGTCGATTAAGTTTGATTATCTAAAAAATAAACAAACACTTTTAATAGTTTAAATAAAGTTGCCAGACTTTCAAGAAGCTTGAATAGGCATTCAAAATTAGTACTGTGCTTGATGGATTTTAAACACTTGATAATGTAACTTTCCATCTTCAGTCACTAGTGATCAGACCTTGCTGTCCATGCTAAGTAGGAGCAGAAATGGAGTTGGACTCCCCAGCCCTCCAGAATGATACTGATTTGTGCAGGCAGTCTAGGAGGGATACAGACAACATACCTCACTACACCTATTATATAGCTTCCTCTGCAGCCATACCATTAATATTACAACAGACAGCCTGCTCTCCTATTTTACCACTACAGCTTTTTCTTAATATTATCAACTGTTACTCTTTACATACCTGTCTTCTTAAGGAAGCAGCATCTACAACAGTCATGTCGTCTGGTGTTCCCTCAAGCGTGGTATCCATGTTGGACAGACTGTACCTGTCAGGTTAAAGAGATCAATTAGCTGCCTCATCCATACAAAGTTTAGCAAGTATTGCATTTTATAAACATTCTAGTAGATGTATTTTTGGTGGTGACAGGCAGGAGAATTCTCAGACTTTTTGGCTTTTACTGAGTTATGTACTTTCAATAGGAAGATGACTGAATCAAGCATGAAGATGTATGAAGTGAGTGATAGGCTAAATCTGAGTCCACTGTTCTCCACATTTATATATTTCTGGAATTTCCCCACACAGACAGATTTCTTAGTATCACTTGGTCTCCCAGAATACTATTTCTAGTTATTCCACTGCTTAGTGAATGCTGAAGATTGCCTGAGCTAAAACACCACAGTCGCAAGAGATGTGCAATAGATCTGAACTAACCAAATGAAGATTTGGAAAGAACTGGGTATCTTATGCTCAGTATCTACTTAAATATTCCACCTACTAAGATTAATGATCTCAGTCACAATAACTTTGATATTTTAGGTAAAGGACAGAGAACCCTGTAAACAAAGAGTCAGGTGCCATCACCGCTTGGTGAATTCTGCATGCTTCAGAAAGAGGGTTATTATCAAAACACCTCAATTTTCTTGATGTAATGATTCAGATAAAGCTTTATTCTAACTCCAGGATAAGTTACTTCAATACACACATTTTCTCATAGTTGGGAGGGGGCAGAAAGTCTACGTAAAATGTGTTCTGATCATCCAAATGCTACCTCTTAACCAGCTTCCTTTCCAACAATCAACAGCTAAAAGTTCTGATGCTATATGGAACTGCTGAGTTTCTCTCTATCTTGAAATCTCAGTTTCCATTATTAACTCCCTTTGACTCCACTTGCTCTCTCATTAGGACATTATGAACAAATGCTGACAATGGCTTCAAATACTGAAAAAAATACATGTCAAAGCTACCAAATGCAAAATAAAATACACCTTAAAGAACATTTAGCATTTAATGACAGAGTTAACCATTAACTCTGACTAACATTTGAATTAAAGCATAACTCCTTAAACTGGCAGAACGTGCTTTAAATGCAGACATTTCTTTTACATCATGTTCTTCCATCACTTTTAGTGAACTTCTATTGAATGCCCTCAGCTCATACATAATCCTCTGCCCCTCCAATATGCCATTCGTCAAAGTTTCTCTGCCCCTGCTGTTCAGTAACTTGTTGCTTCTACATAAGAGTTGCTGTTTCTAAGTGAGAATTGCATTAGTTTGGACTTAAATAACAATGAGATCCTTGAGCAACACTGCATAAAAGGTAGGAAATTGATTCAGTTTTGATCTGTGTTTCTGGAGGTTTGAAGGGTGTACAGGAAGAGGTAAACCTTCTCCAGGGAAGACAAGAATAAAAACAGTGTTTACTAGAAGAATATTTGAGCAAGCAACTGTTTGTCAGAGTCACAACTGTTTTAAAAGCACAGTATGAAACAAAACAAGTTTGGCAACTCTTTTTATTAAGAAAAAATTTCTTACTTAGGCCATTAATAATTTTTTACTCTAAGGAGACAAAATATTCATTTCACTAAAATTTATGCTGTTTGCTACTTACAGGTCTTTCAGTGTAGGCAGCATTAAATAGACTGAAGCTGTGTTTTTTATTCCCTTAGTTATGTGGGGAAAAAAAGTAAAGGACAGTCTCACTCATTGCATAGTAGAGTTGTCTGCCACAATTTCTTGGGAAAAGAGAAAAGGGCTCATCACTGAAATTATATGGGCATGACTCTCCAGTCACAAAAATTTAATACAGGTTCAAGGTATCACTGCTATTCTGCCAATTTCCAAACAAGTCCAGGAGCATTACACCAGTGAGAAAACCCTTAAGGTAATCTCATGGACTACAACAACAACAAAAAAAAAATCAATTCCCAAATTAGAGCTCAAGAATCACTTGTGTGAATCCTGTGTTTAATTAAGCATAAATCTTATCTTCACTTTGATGAAAACAGAAAAGTGTAGTGTGAAATGGGAACAAGTGATGTGGAATTTCCTTAATCCTGATCATGACCTCACATTTTAAGTTTACATCCAGTTCCACCAAAGTGATGTCAGTCTGCCAACATAATGGCTGTAAAAACACATCCAGCTACCACTAACACTCATAGGCACATTACTGAGACCACCTGGAAAAAATAACACGATGCAAGACCAACTTTTCTAGCAATAACAATGGAAACTCAACCACTATTAAACAGGAGGTACTCAAAGCATATTGCTAATGTAACTTAAAATCCTCCCCTGGCCACACAGCTTCTGCAGCACTGTTATATCTACTACACAAGTAAGTTGGATGGTAAGGAATAAGGGCCTGAAAGTACCTCAAGAGGTGGTGGGGGAGGGGGATATGGAGGAACATTGTGATCCATTGAATTAGTGGATCGTGACTGACAGTAACAACAAAATCTTTACCTGGTGTTGTCATGATGAGGGTTAGAGGAAGTGGTAGCAGCTGACCCACCACGTAACACTGGCCTACAGCAGTTTTTTGTAGACAGAAAACAGGAGACAGAAACAGGAAATGACAGAGATAAGAGACACGGAACAAAGGAACATCAAAATATTTCCACTTTATCATATATTTCTATGCAATACCTATTTATTGTATTGAATTTAATTAACACTAATTGTTTGCAGCTATGTAGGTAATTTTTTTTTTTTTTAATGAAAAAGCTTCATTTTTGGAAGATGAATGGCTGGAATATAGATTTGGGAGGAGTTATCAACCTTATAATACTATGGGATACTTCATATTTTTTAAAAAGGCTCTCAAAAAACAAAACCTCAGGAAAAGAAATATCTATACACATACAGAACAGAATACGTCAGTTGGAAGGGACTTGCAAAGATCATCTAGTCCAACTGCCTGATTGCTCTATGGCTAACCAAAAAAGCATACCATTGAGGGCACTGTCCAAAAGCCTCTTGAAGACTGACAGGCATGGGGCACTAGCCACCTCCATAGGAAAGCCTGTTCCCTTGTTTGACTGCCCTCGTGGTAAAGCAGTTTTCCTAACATCTAGTCTGAACCTCCCCTGGTTTGTGCCATTCCCATGCATCCTGTCCTCAGTTCCCAGAAGGAGCTTGACACCTCCCTCTCTGCTTCCCCTCAGGAAGTTGTGGTAAGCAATGAGGTTGCCTCTTGGACTCCTTTTCTCCAAACTAGATAAACCAGGAGCCCTCAGCCTCTCCTCAGATGAGACACCTTCTAGGCTTATAAAAGCCTTTTAATCACTCTCTCCTCCCTCTAAGGAAAAAAGGATTTCTGGCTTTTCTTTCATCACCTAAGCTAAATATAACTCAGACAACAAGGACTACAGACCTAAGGACCACGTACAGTTATAAAGGAGAGGCAGGAAGAAGTGACTAAAAGCTTCAAGTAGATGGTATGAGCATCCCTTTTATTACTGCTCTTTCAACTTTGTTTCCTTTTATTTCTAGGCAGAGGGCAAGAAAAGGTTACAGCTTTCTAAATTGTTTAAGCTATACAAGCACCACTTTGTCAGGAAGAAGTTGGCACGCCCCAATTTTCAGAAGACACAAACATCAGCTGTATGTTCTGATGACAGTGACACTGAGTTTCAGTACCTCTGCTAACAAGGCAGTTGCACAGCTGTGCTGTATAACAAACTGAAAAAAGATTTCAAGCAGTTGAACAATTTCTTCCATTTTCCCAATGCCAGCAGTAGGTATTTGTACTGTGCACTCAACATACCAGCCTCTGAAGTTAGCAAAAGGGATAGAAAATCTAGGGGTGAAGATCCTTACAGCTGTGATGGGTGGGAGTCAGAGGCCTGGTGCTGAGGCAGCTAGGTGAACACTGTGGCCTGGCCTAAAAATGACCAAATGCTGTGCAAAAACACCACAATCGCTGTGATTGAATTTAAAAGATTGACGGTCTAGGAAGCCTTAGCAAACAGCTTCCCAGTACACAGCACTGGGATTAGGTCCTACTCTAAACAGATCTTCTGCAATGGGAGCACTTTGCTATGTATGTCATAAAACTAAAAATGAAGTCCTGCAAGCGAAAAATGAAAGGCAGACAAAGCAAAAGCCAGCGTGATGCACCTTACAAAACAGAAGCTCCCAATCCCAGCACCTATAATAAAATAATATTCTTCCTCAAGTTCTCAAAAATGGTATTCCTATTTCTTAATGGGAGAAATAATTCCGTTAGCCTCAAGTCTTGCTGGGCAGATGCTATAACTAAATGCTTGGAGAAAACATAAGAAATTCAGCATAAAGCAACTGAGTTTATAGAACAGGTTACAGAATTCCTCTGTGAACAAAAGTCAACTGTGATAAACAAATATGCCAACAGCAGCTTGATGTTGTGTCATGAGACCAACAGTTCTCAAATGCTCTCTGAACTCTAGGTTCTCTGTGGCAGTTTGTGGTAAACTTAAGGTTTTACAGCTGCAGAACTAATCAATGCTACATAACCTGTAGTGTCCTTACAAAAAAAAAAAAAAAAAAAAGCCTGGGGTCTGGAAGCAACTGAGGACTACAGCAAACAACAAAACTACAGTCCTGCAGGTGCCATCCAAACCAGGAACCTGAACTAAACTGGAGACAAGCCTTTAATCTCATTGCTAGCATGTTGGCTTTGTTGTTTTCCTCCTTTTCTCTGCAGTTCACATTCTTCTTTCTTTATTGGTGAGCCCAGGAGGATCACCACAATGTTCCCCTGCCTCTCCCACCCTTTTTACTTGCTCAATTTCAGAAAATCGGCAACAACAGCAACAAAAAAGTCACTATTTAGATAACAGTGATATCTAAATCAGTGATATTGCCTCACCCTCAAACTCAGCAGTAAGTTTTCAGGTAAATACAGTGTGTAATAGCTCAACTCTCCTCTAGTTGTAAAGGCATGACATTCTGCAAATAGATAAAAAAAAACCAAAAACACAACAAAACCAAAACCTAAAACTTTTGGTCTTCTGGCTGCTTCTGGCAGTTCCAACCTAAATACTAAAACATGATCAGAAGCAGCCATAATTTAGGTATGCTCAACACTTTCACTACAAATACAGTGGCAGCCTAAAACACAAAGGGAATGCACAGTAATGGATTTTAATAACAGTGGTAAAACAGGTAATAATGCACTGACCAAATGAATCTGGTCTATCTTTTGCTGCTTAGAGCAGAGCATGCAATGGAAATACCACAGTAATGATGCAATCAAATGGCCTGAGAGGAAAACAAGAGGTGTGGATAATCTAGGTACCTGGGTCCAGCTTACATCACTTGTGTGCATACACACATGACTGAGGCCAGCAATCCTTTGTTCAGTAGGGGCAGCAGCTATGTTGACTTCTCACTGTACTTTGAAACTTCTCTGGAAATCTCAGAACAGCTGTAAGGACGTGCACTAGGACTTTATGGACATGATCTGGAGGTGAACTGGGTAAGAAGCTCAGTTTCTGAAGTACAGAAAGGATTTGTGCACTGAAGCATCAGTGAGTAGGCAAAACTGCTCTCCCTGCTCACCTCAGTACTACAAGCAATTACTTCAACAAAGCAAGGCTACTTCACATCTGTTTCATTTGCTTCTGAACTATATTACCCTCATCTAAACTCATGTGTAAAGACTTGTACTTAACTTGCACCCTGTGTTATTTCTATCATGAAGATTGTCATTAGCTTCCTAAAAATAAAATGTGATCTTATAACACTTCAGGAAATTACTACACGGGTGAGGTTTGGCACTTAATGAGGACAGTGGCTTTTTAGAAAGTACTTATCTAAAAAAAAAAAAAAAAAAAGAGATAGCAATGAATTTCTATACTTTTTCTTTCTAAATAGTTAAGTCCTTGGTTCAAAAGGTAAAGAATAGCTTAGATAAAGTACAAATATTTTAAAAATTGATTGATTTTTTTTCCCCTGCATTTTATTTAAAATATTACTAAAATAACCTTAAATGCAGCTTTTTTGGTTGCCTGCAGCATATGAGCCTTTAAAAAACTACTTTTTGGTCTCACAGAAGTTGAAAAAGGGTTAGAACTGGAAAGCAAAACTGACCTATTGTCCTTGTCCAAGCTGAAGGAAGTGCAAGAGTAAACAGACAGCGTAAACAGTGATCATTATGACGTTGCCCATCTGAAGAATCTATCATGCGAGCAATGCCAACCAAACTAGGCATAATTCATTAGCTGCAGCAGTGTAATCAGCACCTACCATTAGCAGTTTCATTGAATTGCAAGATAATTTTGCAAATGTTTTGTAAAAAGAAAAGCAAGCCACGAAATAAGTGAAAAATATTTCCAGTGAATAGCACAAGTCAGACCTCGTTCATTTTAAAAGATCTCATAATTAACATAAAATTTAAAATAGTTAAGGTTTGAGATAGAACACATTACACAGAGCAAAAGAACAGACAGCAGTTTGAAACAGTTTAAAATGAACAATATTTTACAACCATGCAAGTGAATCATCCAAATTTCACATTCCTACATTGGCTGTAGAATAACAGTGGGTATCAAAACAAAACCAACCACTAAGAATACACTTTTACCTTAACTGATAAATTCATTTTGGGGGGTAAGACTACTTGACAGGTGAGTAACACCAGTTTCCTGTTTCTTTTCAGAAGGCTAGTAGGAGTGCCTCAAAAAATGAACCCAAACCAGGAAGAGTAATGTAGATTTAGAAGCATTTAGAACCCTAGAATTATTTTGATGACTGAAGCTAAAAGTGTATTTATTAGTATTTATACATATACATGCAAAATCCAAGGAAATGTGGGCAAGAACACGCCTAATGAAAAGCAGGAAAAATCTTTTTAGCTTCTCTGCAGACTGGGGAAAGCGCCAGAATTTCAGTCCATATTTTAACAAGGACTTTTGGCACAATATACAGTACTGTTACTCTCAGACAGAAGAATTCCTCTTTGTCTGGGAGCTTTAATTTTGTTAGGAAAATAAAACACCAAAGTCTGTTACTCTATCTAATCTTTTGATATTGACAAGTTTGAAAGAACAAAAACAAAACAACAAACAACTACTGACCAAATGGACACGCATTGACATTTTAACCTCTACAATTTGGAATTTCATGGGATTAAGATGGGGTTAAGCACCCAACTGTATTTTGCTTGATTTATTTATTTTTCCCAAGTTCCAGGTTAGAGGCATAAAGATCAGCAAGACTGGAGTTCTGTGTGATTTGGTAATGTTAATATGGGCATTGATGTACTGTCCTGTCAGTAAACATGGTGAGCTACAAGAGGTACAACTGTGAAAACAGGCATTCTCAATAAGATTGGCTTGATAGTCATACTTCCTTACCAAAACAACTAGAAAGCAAATCACTTCACTTTATAAAATATTAGGAGTGCTACTGGTACTACAGCAAAACCAGAGGCAGATAAGGAATTTGAAAGAACTTCTGAGCACAGGCCTGCTTAAGGACTGCAGGAGGAATGAGCAGTTCATCCCAGCATCCCTGGCAGTTAGCTTCTCTAATTCAACCTCTTTGCAAGAACTACCAAATAGCAGTAATTCTTATCTGAGCCTCTGTGACACACCTATACAGTATTGAAATTAAAATTGCTTCTGCTAAGAAAATTTCATCATTTTTAGTCTTTATAAATGCTTCTGCAGTGATAAACATGCCATTCTAGTTGTGCTCGGACGTGTCAAATCAAAACAGTACAGGGACACATCAAGTGGGCAAAACTCCACTGGAAAGAATGGAACTACACTGATCACAACAAGGCTTCTTTGGGCTCATCAGCTCTCAAAGTATCAGCTTACTCATAGAAACAAAAAAATTATAAATAGAAGGAGCAACACACTCTGTATATATTGCTTTTTTTTTTTTCCTCACAACATCCAGTGATTCCAGTGAAGTGGTCACCATCAACGTGTGGTTACATGTGACACAGTGAAGTGGTCACATATCAACCAGAGATAAGAATTCATTACATAAACCGACAGAGCCTGAAGTCTCAACACATTATCAAAAACAGCACCTGCATCCAGTACCTTGCACAGTAACCTATCCAGTTGCTGTACATTTGCTTAAATGATTTATGGCAACATCAACCCAATCTTATTGATTTGCACCATTACTCATAAAATGAAAAGTAGTAGATAAGGTTAATATATTTGCAGGTTCAAGATTCAAGATCAAGCATTAATTGAAGAAAAAAACCTGACAACTTGGAAAAATTAAATCCCTACCAGTCGCAGATTAGCTCTTACAATTTTTGTTTGGAAGGAAATCTTAATGCTGTATTTCAATAAACAGAAGCATTTTGAAATGTGAATTTTGGACAATTAAATTGCTTACGAATAGTGAACGCAAAGGAAAGCAAAAGCAAATAATTTCATCTCATTATTTTGTAAACATAAACCACACTCCACTAAAAGGAGAAAAAAAATGAAAGCAGCAGAAGCTGGCAGAATCAGTGACAACCAATCACCTGCGATTTTCATCCAGCACATCCAAGACCTGCTGGTAAGCCCTACGTGTGGAAGACTGGATAAACGATAAAATGCCACGAGCAGAGTAAAGATTAGTTCCGTCTTCAGGCAACATATTGGGAGGACAGACACGAGCCTGTTGCACTGATGGTGTCACACTGTTCATACAAGCATAATAAATGAAGAAAGAAATACTATAGTCAGATTTTTAATTAAAAAAACAAAACAAAACTTTTCAGATAGTACCCATTCCAAAATGTTTATTGCTCGCTTTCAGTTTACCCTTCTCTCAGCATTATAAGGTGGCATCCCCAAATTCCAGGTGTAAGGAATTGTGAGCTATGTTCACATATGAGATCTGAAGGGCTACACTGGATAGTTTTAGAAAGTTCTTGTCCAGCCAATTCTGTGCCTGGCAAAATCAGCAGTCAAATCCTTATTGACACTAATGAGAGAGTATTTTTAAAAGCACAAGTTTTCTCAGCAAGGAGAACCTCACAGACTCTTTAATAAATTCTTTTTCTTCATGTTCTGACTAAAGATCAAGATAGCATTTTGATTTGCACGTGAACAATGTTTGAAGGCTATTGCTAGCCTTTCAGCACAGAATTCATATCCCAAGGACAAGTTACAGTTACAAGTTACTGAGTTTTTGGCCATGATGAAAAAAATAAATAAAACCCTTATAAAAAATACAGAGGATTGAAAGGCAAGGATGAGCACTTTGGTTTAAAGCATTATACAAACTTTACATTTACCAGACAGAAGCAAATTTTTATAAACGGCATTTCATTAAGTCATTTTTCTTCAAGTTTAACCTGACATTATCCACATTGCCCTTCAAACATCAAGGTTTTCTTTTATTTTAATCAGGGATTCTTAATTGAGATGCTTTTTTTTTTTTTTTTAAAAAAAAGAGGAATTCCCTTTTGTTAGCTTTCTCATTTACATTAACACATACATACAAGACGTGAGTCACTGTACCCTTTAAATCTTGGGATAGTTTCTATTTCAAGATTAACATTCTTATTTCAACACTCCTTTAACTGTTGATGCAAAATAGAAGTGGGAAAGTGACCAGAGTCACAATACCAATCTCTTCACTTTTGTTGGCATTTTTATGAAATTAGTCAAAGCCTGAGTGGTTGAGCAATTGGAAATGGGTTTGAAATGTGGATAATTTCTAGGTGGGTCACAGCCCTTTAATGCTCTGTTTTGAACAGAGCTGCTTTGTGACTGGCTGGCAGCAAGACTACAAAACTGAGTAAGAAAGAAAATTCAATTGAAAAGAGATTCAAAGCATGTTACGCAGATGTCACTGCAACCACAGAACAGTTAAAGCCATCCCAAGCTTCTAGAGACATGCAAAGACAGCAGTGGCTGGTGCTTGACTCATATTAGTCATTATTTATCAGCTAAAGTGCAAATACCTTCTCATGTTGCTGCAGAGTAAGTGTAGCCAAAAGTAAAAAAAATAATAAACATTTATTTCTATATTTTATTTTTCTCTATGAGTTGTAGAATTGATCTAACTTTCGTATTTATGATGATTTCTATTTTGCCATCAATAGTAGTGGTCACAGCTACAAATTTATTTCTTCAATTGCATTGGAAATCCCAATAGTCAGTAGAAAAATCATTTGAAGCAGGGAAATATTGTCACCGAAGTAAATTCATGAGATTTTCTATTCCTGTATGGATTTACCAGCTTGAAAGAAAGAAAAAAGAGCCCAAGGCTTGAAGTCATAACATGTCTTTAAATATTATTAATATATTAATTCATATATTAAAGCTAATTTTCCTTGTTCATCATCTCAGATATTAGGCTGAATGAGAGCTTTAAAAAAGTGACAGTATATAAACACATGGAAAACCATAAAATATTGTAGAATTCACATTGTCCAGAATACTTTTATTGTAAATAACCCTAGTAATGTTTTTTTGCAGAGTATTGTGTAGATACTGCAAAATTACAAACAAAAAACAACCAACTACTGAACACAAAATTCTCTAGAAGAAAGTCACACGTAGAAAGTTTACAGTAAGGGGAAAGGAAAAAAGAAAACTGCAGAACCAGGTAGTTCCTAATTCACTGAAATACTCTATGGTCATTGGTTTATAGGCAGCTTCAAGAAGTTACTTCATTCAAGAGCTCTTTTTACTAGAGAAAAAATCATTTCTTAATTTGAATATATTTCCTCCTGGACATGAAATAAACCACACAGCTACATTAAATTATTCAAATTTTCTCCATAAGGACTACTGCTAATTTTGTTATCCTTCTGAAGTACACAGTTTAGGAGAGACCTTTCTTCCTTTCTGAAAGCAAGAATAATTAAATAAAGGGCTCAAATCTCAGAGTTAGTGAACATGGAATGCAGGAAGCAAATGAAGAAGCTGAGTTCTTCCTCTGTGCTCCTGTTTCAGGATTACTCATCTATAAGCATGCAGTAGTCCCTTGGACTACATCAGACACCATGGAGAAGCAATTTAGTTAAGTAACATCTGATACACAAGCCAGCCAAGATGACACAAAAATAATTCTCTAACACTGAACAAGGCTACTTATCAGAAATTGTAGCTACACCCTTATCTTTTCAATTGGTAGAGGAATGTTCTTAGTCTTCAATACAATTTCATTTAAAATTTCTGAACAGTTTTCACATTCAGTCCCAGTCATTCTTTCAGCGCTTTCTGGTTAAAAACAAGTAAATTTCAGGATTTGGACCACAACCAAACAACAGTGAATTACAGAAATTACTATGAAGAGTTCAGTAGCAGTCTACCTGCCCAGAAATGTCCCCAAAGCCTTCAAAAAAAGTGTGAGAAATACACAGAGTTTCTTTGGCTTAGCTCTAGGAATATCAAATAAGGGTAAATAGATTTAAATTAGATGTTAGTTTAGATTCAGCCACAGACTGTATCATCATTAAAGACGTGCATACCACAACCTTTTACACCATAACTTGCATGAAGAACAGGATTTCTCAAGCTATGAAATAGAAAAGCACATCTCCTTAGAGAGCTCAAAGGGAAAGGCAGGAGCAGAAGAAAAAAAAAACCAAAATCACATGATCTACCAATTTTGATCCAATCTCAGTGGTTCGTTGACTCATGATTCACAGTGGAACCTTTGCATTCAACACTGACTAGCAATGAACAAGAAAAAGCTTCATTTCTCCAGGTAATCACAACCAAAGAACAAGACTACAAGACTAAAGCTTTTTTTCTTTTCCCCTCTTTTTTTTTTTTTTTTTTTTTTTAATAAATCAATTGTTAGTTGAAGCTCTGCCTTTCCTTCTCCACCATTTATTTCTCCCTATGTTTCTCACACAGGTAAGTGATTTGGGAAAGCCTGGGAAAGCATGCAACAGAAATAGAAACCACATATTCAGTGTAGCAAAGGTTGTTTCAATTTTATATTCTAAGTTACAGATACTTAGTCTGACAATTAGTATTGCAGAGAGCTATATAATTAAACACACTCCTGATTTTCATATACCAGGTAACATGTTGGCTTACGTGCAATCCTTAGTCGAAAGAGGTGACTGGAACCGTGGCATTTTATTTCTTGGGACAGTATCTGATCTGTGCCACCTTGAATAATAATTGTAATCTCTTAAGTAAGCATCCTTTATAAAAAAACCATTTAAATACCCGTTAATATTGCTAAATAGATAGAAAGTTATTGTGCAAGGAGATGCCCACTTGTTAGTCTCAATTTTTTTTTCAGCACTTGAGAATTACTATCTCAAACAAAGCCAAACTCCCAACAAATTGTTGGAAATGCATGCAAATGGATGACAAGAGAGAGTGGAAAAAAAAAAAAAAAGAAATCAAGAAATGAGGGGAAAAAAAGTTATCTATATCATACAGAGAACACAGTGGTAAGGAGCCAATTCCTTTGCCTCAATCTATTCCAGAACATTTGATTTTGTCACTTTTATAGGTCAGGAAATGGAATTTTGCACAGTACATGTGAATATTTTGTCTGAAGACAGTACTGTTGCAGATTAAAACTTGAGTATTATACTCCCTCCTAAGTAGATAAAGTTTTTACACAACAGTATCTAATGTGCCTTTTAAATGGGGAGTCTACTCAGTGCTCTCTCATCTATCAGGAAAATAGACAAAAGAAAAAAACAACTTTTATGAGAATTAAGTATTTGACATACTTTGAAACTGGATGTAAAAGATGGGACTGTGTTTCCTATGAAGATGTGAACTAGACTCCAAAAAAACCCATGGAAATAAGGTGCTGATCTTTGTTGCAGTACTTTTTATTGCAGAACTACCTAAACATGAAATCAACTTAAAAGTCAAGCCAGTTTTGATGAAGCAGCATTGTACCATTGCAATAATTAGAGCAAAGATAATATTATCAGCCAACACCACTGAAGATAAGAACTTCAAGAGCAGCTAGTTTCTTATGTATTTGTACAACATTGGAAAAATATTATTTCTAGGAGGTAAGGAAATTAAACGTTGAAGCTACATGAGACACAACAGGTGTACACTTAAGTTTTCTGTAGTATAATTTCTCTATTTAAATGGCTTATTATCAATAAGGGAATGAAATTTAGAAGAAATTGATCACATTTACCAGGAATCTGTAAAAGAAATAGCAAGCTATGTGATAATCAGTACCATCTGAGGCAGCATAATTAACACCAAACAGGTTTATTTGCTTGTATTGCCTATCTCGAACAACATCAGAACACATCCACATCAGCAGTATCTCTAAGTGGCTACCACAGTGAAAACAGAATGCTATCTTATTAGTTTTGTTCACAGAATCACCACTTCTATTTCCACAAAGCTTACATTTTTCTTTTGCTGTTTGCAATATATGTCCCATGGGCCTAAGTGATAAGGAAAAGAGTCAAGAGATATCAAGCCTTTTGTACTGGGTGCAAAAGGCACGGCTCACACAAATGCAGAATTTCACCTTGAACACAGTATTTCCATAATATGTATTGATAGAACATTCTCCTGAGCATTAGCCAGGTCTGTATTCTCCATCTGCAGATTGAAACAAGCTAAATGAGGCAGAAATGACAGACTCAGAATTGCTATGAATCCACAGCATTTTGAAAGTGATTTCTTTTTCTGGACCACACTGAGTCAAAAGCAGCAATGATGACAAAAGAAGCAGCAATTTCTAGGAATCTCAGTGATATCAAAACAGATGATCTATATGCTAGGCCCAGCATAACTTCTGTCATAAGATAAATATTTGAGAGGATAAGAAAAAAAATACGTTTTCTGCAGGCCAGCAAATGTAAAATGCTGCAGTGAAGAAATTCAGGTTCTTCCAAATAATCAGTAAAGAGCACAGATACAACAGGCTTAATATCAGTTAGTTGTTACTCTTCATAGAAACAAAACAGACTGATTCAGAATCTTGTCTAAGTTTATATTATTTTTCCAGAAGATTGGAAAAGCTTAGTAAAATAACGTGATTTAACATTATGCAGGTGCTAGCACAAGCATCAGGACAGGAAAACTCATCTCCAGATGTGTCACGATTTCCTGGCTCTTGCATACGATAAACTGAGTCGTGCAAATTAGCAGTGACTTAATTCACTCATCACATCCCTCTTAAATTTACAGGATATCAGGTTTGTATTGCACTGCCAAGCCTCTTTGAAGGACTGCTAATAGATCAAGCAATTATGTTGGCAAATAACATTTAGATAGTTTTAAACCAGTAATTCTACATATAGTAAAGCACACGGGTGAGTTTTGCAAATTTTAAATTTCTGGATTGAAGAAATTCAGACATGAGAAATCTCACAGGGATAAGATACGTCCAGTCAGAGCTGTTCTTACTAGTTTTCTAGGTTGCTGGCTAGGCAGACACAGCCCGTGACTTTAAGGAGAGCAAACAAACGTTGGGAGCATGGATAAAGTGATTTCAAGAAATTGCAAGAATTCATACACTATCTGCTTTTCCTCCAACAAGGATTGAAAAAGTAACATCACAGTGCTAAACTTTTTCACAAGCAACTTCCACCACATGAAGACCATCCATCCCTGCATGCACTTTATGCAAACTATCAAACAGGCATTTGAAGGCCATTCCTGTGGCAAAGTTCTAGCATATCCAGACCAACATATTTTAACTGGATGACCAATGTCAAAGGGAAATTGGACACTTAGTAGGCTGCTAAAACATCTGGAGACTGAGCTGATCAGGTGCTTATGGATGTGAATTCAAGTTTGCCAGCTCAGTGAACTTAAAATTCAGTAGATTAAGTACCTAGATATGTGAGATCTATGAGCTTGTACAAATCAAAAGCCTGATTAAGAAAAGGAAGATAAGCAACAGTATTTCCATGAAGATCTGGAGGAAGAGAAGGAAAACTGTAATAGGCATCTGAAATAGGCATCTGAATACATTTCACCTATTTTAGACAAATTAACTCACAGGTAGATAGATACATAGTATATAGAGCACCTCTTGGTACTCCTGCTGTAAATACAAGAAGCAGGCATTACTAGGACAGAGTTTATTTAACTTTTTTTTTTCCCCTCTTTTTACACTAAAAATAAGTAGAACCTAAGTAGGTCATGTGCTTATTTCCTAAACTAAATTTAAGGTGGTTTAGCAATATCGTGCTACTGAGTCTTCATTTGTCCAACACAGAGGAATCCCATTGTTAGGTCTCACATCTCAGATCCTTTCATTAAAGCAACAATTCTTATGGTAGCTATATTAGGAATTGTTTTGATCAGTACATACATACACAGGAAGATTACACCTAAGTGTAAAGTGTTACACTGCAAAAAAAAAAAAAATTTGCCAGGTGGAAGGATGCCATCACTCAGAATATACTGAGAGTAATCAAATGGCTATTGTATCTAATCAGAATATATAGACATGCATGTCTTCAGAAAGTACCATAAGAACTGCTACCTCTGATGGTATCAGTAAATGAAGTTTCCAGTTCTAAATGCCACTTGCCATTTTTGTCTCAGAAGATGACAATACTTACTCACAGATCACAATCCACAAAGTATACAGATACCAGTGAAAAATGACTTACTCTCATATTCATGAGAAATAACCATATTTCTTTGTCTATTAATTAAAACCATTATGTAATACCAACAGCAATAACTGGGAATGTTTTAATGCACACAAATAACTCAATTTCTTTGAAATAACCTGAAAATTCAGGAAAAAAAAAATTACACCAGTTCAGAAACTGGAAAATCTCCTAATGCAGCAATTCACAATAACTCATGAAACAACCATGTGCCCAGAAACACTCCCACCTCTGAACTCCAAGAAAAACCCTCACTGTATTAGAAGCATAGAAATTAAGAAAAATGCTACCTTTTTAGTATTCAAAATTATATACTTACTACAGCACACAAAAACATTACTTATTAAAAAAAAAAAAAAAGCATGAGGAGATAAAGAACAAAAGAGTTATGTAGTAAAGCTATAGATGTGTCCCTGTACCCTCTTGCTTTACTCACATGGAATCATTTCTGGCCAGCTGGCCATTCTGTCGAGTGGCATTTTCACTCATGGAACGTTCTCTCTTCAGCCTTCCCACTGAGCGAACCTGCACAAGAGGGGAGCAAGAAGTAGATAAAAGACAGGAAATCCCAGGAGAGATTTAAAAACTTAGCACTGGAAAGTTAAGTTAGTCCAGTCCTCAAAGGCAAACTGGAGCTGCTGAAGCAGCCCAGAGGAGGGCCACAAAGACAACCAGGCCAGAGCACCTCTGTCATAAGGAAAGGTTGAGGGAGGTGGGCTTGTTTAGCTTGGAGAAGACTCCAGGGAAATCTTAGTGAGGTCTTCCAGTACTTTGGGGGAGCTTATAAGCAGGATGGAGACTATCTTTTTATATGGCCTGATAGCAATAAGACAAAAAGGGAACCACTTTAAACTAAGAGAGGAAATTTAGGTTACATGTTAGGAAGAAATACTTTACGCAGGGACTGGTGAAGCACAGGAACAGGCTGTCCAGAGAGACTGCAGGTGCCCCATCCTTGTTCAAAACCAGGTTAGATGGAGCCCTGGGCAGCCTGATTTGGTGGTGGCAACCACCTCATGGCAGAGGATTTGGAACTAGATGATCTTTAAGTCCCTTCCAACCCAAGCCACTCTATGTTCACATGGGTTTCTCAGTGATTAGGAAGAAGACATCAGATGAGAGGATCTGATGCTGGTACATGTAAAACCAAGTTCCAGACTCATTGCCATCCTTTCGTTATCTATCCATACAACCGAATGCCACAAGTATGAACAAGTCTACAGAATACACAACTTCACTAATATTTTCCAGTTTGTAAGATGTCAATTACACGCCATTCACCTGCAAGCCACTGCCATATGCTTCTTTAAAGTATGTTTTTAGATTTTTGTTAAAACTCACTAATTCTGTGCATTATATCATTTGTCACAGACTTTCACTATGCATCTCACTATGTGTTCCAATAACAGAATTGCAAATTAAAACCTCTAGTCATTTTGTCGTTTAAATGTAGAACTTAAAGGTCACAGTTAGAACTAGAGTGCTTATAAAAAATATTTTTTATTTTCCTAACTTAGCTTGCACCAGATAGATTTCTCTGCTATAGTGCAGGTCTTTCTTTGTGTCATTTTGCTTTAGGAAAAAAAAAAAAATCCCAACCAGGTAAAAAGCAAAATAAGTACTAGCCTCTTCATTTTGAGGGGTCTGTTGTGGAGGTTTTTCTAAGTCCAAAAAATCTAGTGGTCGATCACTGAGAGAAATAACACGGGGAGGAGTTTTCAATGCCAGTGGTTTGAATGGAGTAGACTGAAGGAGGTCGAGGTCTGGAGGTCTGGAAAGTGGAATGTCTTCACTATTACCTGCAAGAACATCAGTTGTCAATAGAAAGCAAGTTTCTTTTGTTAACTATTTCTAATACAAGTTACACCAAAACTATTCATGAAGCATTTTCAAAGACTGATGTACTTCCTAGGCCAAAGTTGATGAGCAACAACTGTTTGAGAATTGGAAAGTATTTTATAAGTTTTTCTTTAAATATATAATTCCGTCTTTTCTGAAATTTGGGGGATTTAAATGTTGGCCTCTTTTTACCATAGTGAGATGCAGACATACCTGCAACTACAATCCGCTCTGGAACCTGCATAGTTACACTGGCATTTGGAAATCCTTCTGGGACGCTCTTCTCAAGGTCAGCATTCTGAGGAGCCACTTTGAGTTTCTCTGGGACCCTCATGCGCTGGCTGATCCCTTCGGTGTACTCCATCTCATACTGAAGACGATTGATTTCTGCCATCTCAGCAGCTGGTGACGGGAACGCAGCCCCACTCATTCTGCCAAAAGGAAACCACGAGCTGTAATAGTAATGTACAAAAGCAATGGAAAGCAACTAAAGGGACCTCTGCCTGGTTTAAGACTGAGAGAAAAAGAAATCCTAGAGCTACATATGCAGAGCGGCAGGAAAGGGACCACTGGTGGAAACTATGGGCTAGAGAGGGAATTCAAATGGTTGACAGAACATTTTCACCGGGGCAGTGGCTGAGGGACCTCACCAATAGCTCTGATAGAGACAGCAGCTGTAGCTTGGGTTAAGAAAGAAACCCTGGAGACACAGTTTGAATGAGGTTGCAGAGCAGCTCCCAGAGGAAACTGTGAGCTGCAAGAAGCCTCACTTGTGAGAAACCTCAGCTATTCAACAGCTGGAGGCCTCAGCTGCAGCTCAGCTCAGACCGAGACATCAGTTACTTTTACCTTTAGGGTTAACAAGAATATTTATTTGTATACATCTATGCACACACACAATACACAAATACAGTTAGTACGGGAAAACCATTTACGGGAAACAGCTTATTCCAGCAAGAAATCTCTTACTGGTACTGCCTGAAGTGGTTCCCTACGTGAAGCAATCTATTCCTGCAAAAGGGCGTTTTTTGCCAATGTAATTACAGCAACATTCTTTTGCTATTTTTGACATCAGGGCTACATCTGCGCTGTGCACGTGCCTTAAAAAGCTGAACACACAGAACCCTGACTACAAAATGTTTCTGTGCAGGTGAGACAGAACACAAATCACACCACCAACCAACCAGCACGAACCCACGCACAGCACCTCCTGTCTGGGAGCTGCATACCACCATCAGCATTCCACCACAGTCAACCCTATATAACGTGAACACTTGTGCACAAACACAACCTGGGTTCTTCCCTCAGTGCTTCACTAAAGAGCATCTGCTCTCAGGACCCACCCAAGGAAATAGCCTGTCAGATGGCACCTCCATCTGTTTTGCACGTTCTATTTTCATGCAAAGAAACCAGACAAGTGCTTTATTCGTTGCCATGTAATTAGACTAATACTTGACAATATCACACAGAAACAATACTTCCCCATCAATAAAACCTCAAACTGACAGTGATCTTCAGGCAGCAGAATTAAGCACACAGAAGGATATGGTCTAAGTAAGACTGCATTAAATACATGCATATTAAAGACATGATCCACTTAGCAATCTGTCCTGGGATCTTTGATGTTACTTTCAAGACTTGAAGTCACCGCAGATCAAATGAAATACATTTATCCATCTCAAAGGCTCACTCACTTCAGCATACTGCAGAACTGGGCATCAAGGAGAAGGTCTTCATTCTATTTAAACTTAGATATATCTATCCTTAAATGAAGTGCCTGAAATCACACATAGATTTAATTGCGTAGAATTACAGAATTATGAATCTGATTATGAATCTCCAACCTTCCCATTTAATGCTAGACCAGGCTGCCCAGGGCCCCATCTAATCTGGCCTTGAACACTTCCAGGGAAGGGGCATCCACAACCTCTCTGGGCAGCCTGTTCCAGCACCTCACCGCTCTCTCTGTAAAGAATTTCCCCCTGACATCCAACCTAAATCTCCCCTCCCTCAACTCAAAACCATTTCTCCCTGTCCTGCTGTTATCTACCCCTTCATTCTTAATGTTTGTATCTATCAAATGAAAGAAATTGGAACAACCTACTTTGCTAAACACTTCAAAATGCACACATGCTGTTTAAAGGAGCTCAAGAGGTGCATAAGCAGCTCTTTTTTTTTTTTTTTTGGCCCTGTCCTTCAGACTTGCAAACTACATTTGTCTCTGTCATGAGGCGTTGGCTGGATCAGCCAGCGACAGGTAAAGACTGCAATGTTTCAATATTTCCACTTTCCAAAAGGTACTTTTTCTTCCCAAACAGGGCCTACAATCAATAAAGCACTTCCAGATCAACAGCATTCAGACAATCATGATGCCAGCATCAAAGATCCAATTTTAAGAAGACCTTACAGTCCCCATTACGTCTATTGGAGGCAGCACACAGAACAGCTGCCTCTCACAAGACCAGACTACAGATGTTCCTCAGCTTGTTTCCTTCCTTATTCTGAAGCACCAGGACAGCTCTGATGTTTGCCATCAGGTACCACTACGCTGCAGCACTGTTTGTTGTACACCACAGCTCCCCTGAAGTTCAGCATTGATCTGTGTGTAAGTCAGCACGACTGCTGCTTCCCGGCTGTCAGATAAAGCGCACACGAAAAATGACAAATCAGAACAGTCATTCTACATAAAATATAAACTAAATAGCGCTGGGAGGTAATTGCTGAGGAATACATACAGCACCTCAACATCTTCCTACTCTTACCTACTTACCAACGCTGTTTTTTGTTTTGTTTTTTTTTCCTGTCAAGCTGATTTCAGTTTTTAACCTATTTATTTTTTTTCCCCCGCAAGAGAACAGCAAAACCACAAACGGTGACATTTCGGCAGCAGAACTTCAAAGGGAGCTCGTCAACAAACGCCCAACCGTTCAACAGGAACGTAACCAGCCACACTGCTTTCTGTCACAGCCATTAGACAGGTTTCAGAAGACGCTAAAAAAATCACAACGAGGATTTAAAAACTTGTATTTACAGAATCAAGTGGCTCTGAAAGGGCATTAAGTGGCTCTGAAAGACGACGTCGGGAAGTGACAAGGTGCAGTCGCACCAGATAGGTGCGAACTCCGGCGATCCTTCATCCCGCACAACGCGGCCACGGAACGCTGAGCGCGGCCCCGCTCCCGGTTCCCCCCCCGCTGCCGGCAGTTCCTCTGTGGCTCCGGCGCCTCCTGAAACCCCCGGCAGGTTTCAACGCAAAAAAAAAAAAAAAAAAAAAAGAAAGAAAAAGAAACCAACCCTTTTCCCCTTAACAGAAACATACCGGAAACGCTGGAGAACACAGCACGGTGAGACGGCCGTAGATCCAGGACCCTGCGGGGAGAGGGGGCACGGCCCGGCGCGGGCAGCCGGGAGGCGTCAGGGGCACGGCACGGCACGGCACCGCTCTCTCCGGGCCCAGCAGCGCGCACTCACCCAGACGCGGCGTAAGGCGCTCAGCCCTGCCCGGCCCGCCTGTTGCCCCGGCCGGGCCGCTGCTGCCGCGCTCCGGCGCTGCGTCCGGCGAGTGGGGGAAGCGTTCAGCGGCGCGACGCGCCCTCAGACACCTTCAGGTGAGGCGCCGCCACCGGGCGGGCTGACCCCATCCGGCTGCCGTAAAGACTGCCGGCCGCGGATCTCGCGTCACGTGACGGAAGTAGGGCGGAAGCGGCTCCCCCCGGCGCCTCACGTGCGGCCCCGCCGCAGGGCGCCCATTTTTAGTGAGGGAAGGCGGGCGCTGCGCATGCGCGCTGGTGGTGCCCAGCTGGTGTTTACAGGGAACCGCGTACTTCAGAACTTCCAGCCCGTGTTTAAGCTTCGCAAAGGCCGTATTAAGGCTGCGACCTTACGTAATTAGCACCGTGCAAAACTCGGCAGCGCGATGTAAGATGCACCCGAACCGCACGCAGCACAACGCTCGTTTCCCGACACGCTTCCATGCAGCACCGCGACCCCCCGCCCCGCCGCCCTCCGGCAGCCCAGGAGCAGCGAAGTGAAAAGTGCTGTTACGTAGCGCAAATAATTTTTTTTTTTTTGAACAGGATAAAAAAGCTTCCTATTTTCACTGTATTTTTTTTTTTTTTTTAATGTCCACAGTTACGTTTTAGAGGTCAAAACGAGCGGCAGAGGCAGAAGTGCTGAAGTGAATATTGATCCGAGGTCAGCGCAGCTTGCTAATTCAGTCCTTACAAATGCCAAAAGCACCGCTTCACAGAGGCAAACGAGCTGAAATACGATCCGTTAGAAGGTAAAAATAAAAACGACACAGCTTATAAAATTATAGATTGTTTCTCTGCAGGTACACGATGCTCCATTCGGCCTCCTTGGAAGGAGCTGCTTTCCTGAGCACCCCTCAGCAGGCGCAATCCCCAGCTGCCTGCTGGTGGGAGTCCTCCTCTCTTCCACCACTTCTCCAGTCTCTGTAACACTTACACACTACCGAGATGGATTTTGCCTTTCAAACTATGAAGCACGCTAGAAATTTCTTCACCAGTGATTCCACGTGTACAGCAGGGCTCAGGTCCTGGGGTGTGGGCTGGAGCCTGGACGCAGGCCTGCATTCCAGGGAGCAAGCAGGGCTTCCTCAGCTTCCTCACCACACTTTCAGCTGACACTATCGATATATATATACTTAATGTCATGTATAGGTAGTGGAAAAGATCATTAGTAGGGAGAGGAACGAAAAACAAATAACCCCACAAATGAAATAGGTCTTTTGTTTAGTCAAAA